GAAAAGCATCTTCAGAAGTAAAACACCATCCTTTTGAGCTAATTCTTGATGTGGCCAAGGAAGACTCTTTAATCCCAACCGTTCAGGCCCACAGCGTCGGCGTAATACAGGTGGACCACCGTCTTCACCTCTCAACCTTGACACTGTCCTGCATGGAGGTCCTCCAACCACAGCAACCACCTTTCCTTCAGCCGCCAGATGCAGAAGATACTTCCAGACGCTCGAATTATGTAGGTCACCGCCTTTCTTCAAATCCAGCTCCAGTACCTCCACATCCCGACTGGGAAAATGCCATTTTTGTTTTCCCGAAAATAGGTGTACCACCACCCTTTTTGCTCGTGCCAGCCGTCTCCTTTTATGACGGTTGAAAGGCAAAGGCAACGCCGCAATCTCCATAATACCACCGAAGAAACCGCCAGCATGCCTGGACGAACTCCTCCTCATTCGCTGACGCTGTCCGCGCTGCGCTTTGCAACGACGCTTTTACAGCCACCTCGTTGTCCGTATTCGGACACCCTTGAACCATACGTGCCACCTTCAATGCTTGCTTTGGTGAACACCAATCCATTTCATCAATGATCTGAAGCGCCACCTCCTTTTCCAAACAAGGGCACCCATTCAGATCACGAACGCGAAGTTCCCCCAGAACAGGATGTGAGGCTGTGCACTTGCCACCACGCCACTGAACTCTGAGACCAACCAAGGCGCTCGCTTTGCCAATTGGCACTAGTGGATCTACCATTTCAGGAGTTACCAGGGTCCCACCTGGGGTAATACACATCTCCCGAGATCCAACAGCTAAAGACACCAACACCTTTTGCTGCGGAAGCTGTTCACCAGGACGAAGTGATCTGAGAGGATGTGATGCTCCCGAGTCCAACATGCCCATTCCCGAACACTCATTGGTGTCAGAAACCCTGGCCACATGTAGAACGCATACTCCTCGGCCTTCTCCCTGCTTCGGCAACAACGTGGCATCAGACGAACCGACTCCACAGTCCGCCCTTCCATTCCTCCATTGAGAATGGGACAACGACGCACGCTGCCTTTCAGCATGCAAAACCATTTTCTCAGCTGTTTTGTAATCCATAACCAAACAGCCATGTTCAAACCATAAGAGTTGGTCCAGCGAAGATTTTGCACTCACGTGACACATCCCATTGATCACGGTGAGGTTCGCCCCAAACTCCAAAATCAACCAGAGAGGGATAATCAGGGGCCCATTGTCTTCCCTAATCAACGTCCCTTTCTCTGTAATCCTCATTGTCACACCACCAAGCGCGCTTTGCACCATAACAGTAGTGTCGGGTAAACATTCCCATGGAAAAAGCGTCCGCACAAGATGCGTAGCAGCTGTATCCACCAACGCCACTCTCCCTTCCTGCTGAAATAATCCAGAGTCACATAACATTCGAACACTGGGATCTCCGCTTGATGCTGACTGCGCTGATGACAGCTTCATAGATTTCAGCACTTCTAACGCTTCAGCAAGAACCTGATTGGTTGTTGATGGTGATGAGGGACTTGCAGAACCTTTATCCAATCCCGCATTAGCCATCTCATCTCCCACTTCAGCCACTTCTGCCTTTTTGGCATTTCCCCATTTTGCACCTTTGCCGCCCTTTCCCCCTTTGGGAGAATTCCCTTTAGATCTATTCCTTTCAGGATTTAAGTCCGCATTGGAACTTACACCATCTTTGTATGGACACTGCGGCTGTAAATGGCCAATGGCCCCACATTCAAAACATCTTCCACGCTCCAGGGAGTCCTTGTCATGGCGAAATTTGCACCGTGAACCGAACTTGCAGCCTGCTTCTGTCTTCCCATATATCCAACAGAAAGGACGTTCACCATCTCCGCTGTACCTTTTTCCTTTCCCTTTGCCTTTGTCACGCAGTACGATGTTAAACTTCTTGGTGCAACCATCCTCAGCAACCTCGATCTCGGAGGCTATTAAGGGAGTGCGACAATGGGCGCAATGGCGTTCCCGGTTAAGGGAGCTGCGAGCATCTGAGCCGGATGCTACCTTGCTTATCAAGGGATTGGATGCTTTATTATCCGTTGCCAGAGCAAAACACCCTACGGTGCATTTCAGAGTGGCATCCTTCCGGGAGAAATTGGGGGTGGACTACTCGCCGACCTCTGAAACTGCGACACAACTAGCTGAAATGTTGCAAGCAGAATTCGAACTGCTATTGCATAGCGCTGGTGAACAAGAGGTGAAGCAGGACTCGGACGCCAAGAAAAGGGCCAGGTTAAACAAGGCCCAAAAGGGAACTGGTGACGAGACGGAGGAGGTTTGCTCCACCTGGTTGGTAAACTGTCAGCAACTTGTAAAATATCATCACCGACCCCAACATTCGAGTGGAAACGATCTCGGTCTTCAATCTCTCCGGAATCGCTTGTAGCAGCAAAGACACCGCTCTCTGCTCCAACAAAACATGCACAGTTCGAACCCCCTTGAGCCCTTCCAGCTCAGCCTTGATGCCCAACCTTTCCAGCGGAGAGACACTCAACCATTTGGCGTACGCCTCATACGCCTTTGTATAGACGGATTGCCACCACACTCTTCCTGTATCTGTCAGCGAAGACAACATTGGTTCGATCATTGCGATCCAATCACCTAGTGCCGTCGGATTGCTTGGTGTGTAGTCTGCCAAAGTAGGAAGGCTCATCACATGCTTCCCAAGAGCCTCCGGACGTTCCGTTCCAGAACTATCACCAATGTTTGGCATCCCACGTGGCACCACAGCTCCAGGAGGTAAGCTGACCTTTCCACCAGGCCCTTGTGGCAGTCCTTGTCCCATTCCGGGCGTAAACGCTGTGAGCGGAACCTTCTCTAATTCCAACTTCCCAGCGATCATTTTCCACCGATATGGAACATCATCCACCATTGTATATCCACCCGATCCTGCTGAGTTCTCTTGCATTGAAGTTTCCCGAGCTGAGACAAAACCGGGCTGATTTCCCAACAGTGCGGCAGAACCATCAACGCCTGACGGCAAGGAAGTAATCGGAACATGTGTTAAACCAGGTGGTCCACTTGAATATCCACCACTTGCAGAACCTCCCATGGGGTAATTCAATGGAGGCAATCTGGAGGGTTTCTTCCCTTCAGTTACGTGCATCATTGGCACTTCCTTCTCATCCTCCACGTGAACCTCCCCTTTCCTGGGCTCAGGCAAGGGTTGAAGGTCACAACCCTTTGGAAGGTCGTAGCCCTCAATCGGCAGCCATGTCCCATCAGGCAACACAGTCCAGAAGCCACCCATACCATCAGTGTAGAAAACTTGTCCTGGCAGGTACTGCTTCTCTGGAGTCATTCCCAACGGATATGCAGCATTTGCGTCCACCACTCCAGTGCTCCGTGCTCTCGAAGCTGACCCAGATGCAGCAGAGGTATAGCTTTTCTCCTCCACCCGATGCAATCTGTTCCCCAGCTCCTTTGTTTGCACAAGCAACTCTTTCAGCGCACGCTTTACCACCGCCATATCTTCACCTTGTTCTTCACCACTCAGATCAGGAATAAGCTCTTCCTCGCCTTGTGTCTCACCCATCAACCCTGAAGATGGCCTCTCAGCTGGAACAGGTTCCCGATCCCGAAGTTCTGGCAACGACGGTGGCCTTCTTGTTTCTTCACCACTCCTATCCCCTCCGCTCGCAGGGAGACTTGCTGGCCTTGATTGCCTTAGTCTCATTTCTTCATGAGCCCGCTCGCTCCAGAAAGGATTCGCTGCTGGAACCGGAACCACTTCGTTTTCCACCTGAGACGTTGGTTGTATCATTGCAACCTCCCTACCATCTGTCAGCGCTTGTACCATTTGTTGCCGTTCTTCACCCCCATCACCACGATTTTCTTCGGCTTCATTGGCCGCGGATGACAGTCCAGGTTCCGACCGACGCCGCAACATGTCCATTGCGCCAAACAAGTGTAGAATCTTACCTACACCGCAGGAAGCCTAATTTGGGCTCATAACCTTCGGGGGGAAACCGAAGGGGGACGAGAAACCAGACAGTCAACCCCAACAGAAACCCTTGATTTCCCTGGATCAACCACACAACAAACCCAAACCACAGGGCACTCACCTTTTACTACCAGGCACATGGCCCAGTCTTGAGCCATCAAATGATTTCCGGGTTTATTAACCCTTTCAACTTCCAACACTAACTCTTTTCTACAATACCAGCAGCAGCTCCGCACCCTAAACCCTAAACCCTAAACCCAAACCCCAAACCCTAAACCCTAAACCCCAACTCTGGCCCTCTCAAGTCAAGCCGCGGAAAGCGCAGTCCAACATTCGAATGCGCAGGATGCGGCCCAGAAGGAGCGACTAGAGCAGGTACTCCTACAATGCTGGATGCGACTTGGCTTGGTTGCTTAGGGTTTAGGGTTTAGGGTTTAGGGTTTAGGGTTTAGGGTTTAGGGTTTAGGGTTTAGGGTTTCAGAACCCCCAAATAACCCCTATATTCCACTTACAAGGAAGGATTTGTTTTGGTCAAAGCGGGCTTGGCCCCCCCTAAGCCAAACCTCATCCGAAGCACGATGAAGCACCCTAAACCCGAAACTTGGGATGTTCCCCCTTATACTGGCAGTTCTTAATAGGGATTCTAGTACCCCCGATTATACTCCCTATTCAGGACTGATAGTACAAGGGGGATAAACCCTAAACCCTAAACCCTGAACCCATGTTTCCGGAAGGAATCCACAGCACGAAAAGGGTCTCGGAGCGAGATCCGCTGCTGTAAGAACCGCAGCATTGGGAAGGTCGAGCCCATGATGCCAGGTTTAGGGTTTAGAGTTTAGGGTTTAATTAGGGTTTAGGGTTTATTGGGGTTTGTTTCGGTGTGTTCGGCCACAATGCCACAGGCCTTGAAATGAATCACAAAACCCCCAAGGGCCCGCCTCCATCCCCAGATCCGCAACCCCCCCTGCGTTGCTCCGACCGACCAGCAGGTTCAAGCACCACACGCCGCAGAACCTGAAGATCATCCTGGACGCCATGCGCGAGAAGGTGGGGCAAGAAAGGGTTTAGGGTTTAGGGCTTAGGGTTTAGGGTTTAGGGTTTAGGGTTCAAGGTTTAGAGTTTAGGGTTTAGGGTGTGGCGCTCCACCTGCCAAGTCCGGGTTAGGGAGTGGATTTTGCTGGAGGGCATAGTCGGAGTATGCCCTGAACGCCCTGAAATTGAGGATGCGGAGCCTAAACCCTGAACCCTGAACCCTGAACCCTAAACCTTGTTCTTGAGCCAGGGCTTCCGCCCCAGAAACCTGAACCCTAAGCAAAACAACGCCTTCACTTGGTAGCCCAGTGGTACCCTTATTATATAGGTTTCAGGGTTTAGGGTTTAGGGATTGGGGTTTAGGGTTTAGGGTTTAGGGTTTGGGGTTTGCCCTGGCCTCAGTTCCAGTCTTAAAAAAAAGGGTTTGGGGTTTAGTGGTTCAAGGTTCCCTTATAAAGAACCAGCCCAACAAAGGGCGCCCTTGTTATAATATGGAGGCTTACGAAGATCGGGGGCCCCTAATATAGAACCCCAAATAGTAGGATTCCCTTACAACAAGGACCCCAACAAGGTACCCCTAATTTCCGAAACCCCCCAGAGTGTTATTGGGCTGCCAAGCTTCGAAGCCTTGACCAGGTAGTGGAAAGTGGCACCCGCCTCATCCAGCAAGGCAAGGGAGGGCTCGAAAACCTTGGAGTGAGAGATAACTCAACATGACAGTCCTCGGTTCTTAGCGCTTTTGTGGAATGATAATGATGCGAACGGTTCGTGCTAGTATGACTATGTTTTTGTTCTTGAGGTGGTCCCTCAGTGTGGCCAACTCCCTCAAACCCGGGAATCCACCCTAAACCCTCAGTAAACCCTAGCTAGCTCTCTCTCCTCTTTCTCTCTCTCTCTCTCTCTCTCTCTCTCTCCCTCTCTCTTGCTCGAAGGCTCTGTTGGGCTTGGTAGCCCAGTGGTGCCCTTCACTTTTTTTAAAGGTTATAAAGTAACCAACCAAAAAAAGGATGTTCCTTATACTCACAATGACTCCGGGGATCGGGACCCCGAGACTTTTGGGGGGAGGTTTGGGGTTTGGGGTTTAGGGTTTAGGGTTTAGGGTTTAGGTTAAACAGGTTGATGGTCTCTTCAATTGGGGTTTCTGTTCTAGAGGGGGTGGATATGGGGACCCTTGTTATGGTATGTAGGGGCTATATTGGGCCAGCCTGTATAAGGTTTAGGGCTAGGGTTGAGGCTAAACCCTAAACCCTAAACCCTAAACCCTAAACCCTAAACCCTAAACCCTAAACCCTAAACCCTAAACCCTAGGTGGTTCAGGGTACCCTTCTAGCCCGGTACGCAGAGCGCTGACTGTTCGAATGGGCGTTGGCGTGTGGCTTTTGGACCACCCTTCGAGCTCACTTGCCATACAGGGTGTAGGGCTTAGGGTTTAGGGCATCGTACACTAATAGGATGACACAGCTAAAGCTCATTGACAAGAGTTCGGGTATCTGCCGGCATGGTTAGAGCCCTGAAGCCCCCTAAACCCTAAACCCTAAACCCTAAACCCGCTAAACCCCCAGGCGACGAGGGCGAGGTCATGTGGGTGATTGAGGAGGGCGAGCTCGAGTGTTTCAAGACGATTGGCGGCGAGGCGCTGGTGGGGTAAACCCTAAACCCTAAACCCTAAACCCTAAACCCTAAACTCTAAACCCTAAACCCTAAACCCTAAACCCTAAACCTAAACCCTAAACCCTAAACCCTAAACCCTAAACCCTAAACCCTAAACCCTAAACCCTAAACCCTACCATGGAAGCAGGCGCCCCCCCCCCCCAAAAAAAAAAAAAAAAACAACAAGCTAAATAGGATTTAGGGTTTGTAGGGTTTGTAGGGTTTATAGGGTTTGTAGGTTTTGTAGGGTTTATAGGGTTTATAGGGTTGATAGGATTTATAGGGTTTATAGGGTTTATAGGGTTTACAGGGTTTATAGGGTTGAAAGGGTTTAGGGTTTAGGGTTAGCATGCTAAAGAATCTAAAAAGGGTTCTGGGGCAAAAGGGTCAAGGGTTTTTCTGAGCGTAGTTTCATGGGCCCTCAATGTGGTCCCCCTTACCTCCTTTAAAGGGTTCTGATGCATGCGCCCTTACTTTGTATAGGGTATACAAGGGGGGGTATATATAAGGTACCCGTTTAAGATACTAAGGGACCATGTAGCTACCCTTAGTTAGAATTTAGGGTGAACATACTAAACAGGGTTTTGGGGTACCCCACTTCATTTCATAGTAGAACCACTGAAACCTTGGGGACGAAATGAAGTCCCCAAGGAATGGGCCCTCTGGGCTTAAGGGGGCTTTATTGAGTCCGGGGTTTGAGGCGCCTTGGAGGGCCTGGCTTTGCTTGCTTGCACCGCCCTCAGCAACGCCGTGCCCTAAAAAAGTTTAGGGTTTAGGGTTTAGGGTTTAGGGTTTAGCCTGAAGCTTATCCGCTTGAGTGGTAGGAGTTCAGGAGCTGCTCCTGTAAGAATGACACATAAGTAGCACATATTTGCGGAAGCAGCAAGTCCAGGCCTTAGGGCTCCAGACCTTCCACAGGAGAAGTCAGTCAAGAAATGCTGCCGCGGCGACGTCTTCGGGGAGCTAGCGCCCTTTGCCTGCACAAACCTTTTTTCAGGGCTCAGGGGGTGGATGACCCTAAACTCTAAACTCTAAACCCTAAACCCTAAACCCTAAACCCTAAACCCTAAACCCTAAACACCCCTAAACCCTAAACCCTAAGGGCTCAGGGGGTGGATCTTCCTTTCATGGACTTTGGGCTTCGGGTGGGGGAAGATGTACAAGAGGGACCTGGAGGTGGCCATGGTTTAGGGTTTAGGGTTTAGGGTTTAGGGTTTAGGGTTTAGGGTTTAGGGTTTAGGGTTTAGGGTTTAGGGTTTAGGGATAGCTTCAGGTTCGCGGCTGGAGCTCGCAGGTGGTAGCCCTAAACATTGAAGGGGGAACCCTAGAAGCCCGAAGCCTCGATGAGCCCCCAACCGAACCAACGCCCAGATCCAAACGACTGAGCTCCATAAAGACTCCCCCACATCCCCACCCGAAGCCCCTAAAAAAGGCCCTCGACCCTAAACCCTAAACCCTAAACCTAAACCCTAAACCCTAAACCCTAAAGCGCAGGCTTCTCTACAACTGCCGCCGGGCGGCTTCGGTAGTGGCCTCGCAGAACCTGGGCAAAGTTGTCGGCTTGGAGGGTTTTAAACTGTCAGCTTCAAAAGCGGTAGGGTCCCTAAACCCTAAACCCTAAACCCGAAACCCTCTTGAGGGGGCGGAGGGCCATCAGATGGGTTGCGGGTTTAAAGGGTCTACGCTCATGGGCTCTTCCAGATTCGCCTCGCACATGCTGCTGAGTGCATGTTTAGGGTTTAGGGTTTATAAGGGTTTAGGGTTTAGGGTTTAGGGTTTAGGGCAGTTCAAGGAAGGCGGGAGCCTCCCTCCTTTTCCCCGGCTTCTTTCGCCCAAGCAGCCCTGAAGCCTCAACTGGCTGAGATCACTGGGCTCGCATCCCCAGGAAGTGCGTGCTGTGGGAGCTGGACCGGGAAACTTTCAAGGCCATCTGCTACGAGGCAGCGCAGAAGGCCTGCTGGGGCCTGCCGGGGCCACTGCTCCTATGCCTTCCCAAACATGTCCCTGCAGAGATTTCAGGCACCCAAAACAGAAGCAGCGGCCCCCCAAAGACATGAGTAAGAAAGCAGCGCCTAATGCAGCCTTCTCCCTGCCCAGGCGCCCCCAGAGTATGAGGGCTTCTCCGCCCCCGCCGCAGCCTCTTCGGCTGCCCCAGCAGCGGCAGCAGCGGCACCGGCACCGGAAGCAACGGAAGCGCCGGATTCGCCGAAGGAGGCGAGGCAATCCTCGAAGGAGGAGCGAGGGCTGAGTAGGTCATTGGGTGCAAGAATGCATGTTGTTTTGGGTTTTGAAGGGTTCAGGGTTTGCAGGGCTTAGGGGTTCTTAGGCTGTGGAGTGCTGCGTGCTGCACACTCGAGATGTGCCGACGGACGCCAAAGTGAAGACATCGCCACGCCTCCTCCAGCCAGTCCTCCAACCCAGTCAGCTGTGCTTTCCAGCCAGCTTGATCAAGACAGGGTGTACTTGGAGGTTCAGGGTAGTACTTACTCACCCAACGTTAACTGCACTTATATCCCAGTTATAACCATACCAGGGCACTTAAGGGGCTTATACGTGGGTGAAAAGTACAGGTATATTTGGTTAATAAGCCCTATAAACCCTAAACCCTAAACCCTAAGTACCATGAACCTTCAAGTATTTTACGGGAGCAGATGGATCCTGCATCCCACTCAAAGTCCAGATCCTCCTTCGCCGTTGCAGCCGGCTCATGCTCTATATGTTAGGGTTTAGGGTTTAGGGTTTAGGGTTACACGATGCCTTAACACACGTCAGCCTTAGGAGGTTAGGGTTGAGGCCCCGATGGCTCAAGGGATGAGGACTCGCAGCACGAAGGTTGTACCCCTAAACGTTCCCCTTAGGGTTTAGGGTTTAGGGTTTAGGGTTTAGGGTTTAGGGTAATATACTCCTGGCATGGCCCTTCTATTCCCTTAGAATCCCTAGACTATATCCCCCTGTGGAATTGTTTTTTTTATTTTGTTAAAATCAATCCCAAGAGAGTATGAATGATGCCATTTTTATTAAGGTTCTAAAGGGCGTATCAATACTGGGAAACTTAACCCGGCTTACTGCAACAGCCCGGCAGCAAAAAGGGGAGTATAGTAGAGGGGGGGGGCACTATGTCAGTTTCAACCTGGGCACAAACGAGCCTGAACCCGAACAAACCTCAATCCCAAAACCTCAAACCCGAAAACACCCTAAACTACCAAATCCCAAAACCCTGACAAGCCCTAACCCTCAACCCTAAACTCTGAACCCTGAACCCTAAACCCCTAAACCCTAGACGCCCTCCTCCGCCCCAAAATGCTTCACCCCAAAATGCCGGTGAGGACGGGGCCGATTCGGACAGCGATCCGGGCGACACGGCGGAGTCGGTTCCCATCCAGCAGGTGGCCCTTCAGGTTTTTGCCTAAAAAAGGGGTTAGAATAGGGTTTAGGGTTTAGGGTTTAGAGGGTTTAGAGGGTGTAGAGGGTTTAGAGGGTTTGGAGGGTTTGGAGGGTTTAGAGGGCTTAGGGTTTAGGGGCCGGAATAAGTACTACTGTCATTCCCTTATCGTCCCTGTATAAGTATATACTACAATAACCCCACCAAAACCCTGTTCTAGCTATTAAGGCCCCTGTACTGCAGTAGACGTAGGGTTTGGGAGGTTTCTGTGTCTCTGTGTCTGCGTTTGAGTGCGCTCGTGTGTGCGTGTCTGTGGCGATGTTCCTGTTGTCGGTATGGGTTCAAGGCAACTGCACAAGACTTTCCCGTTGCAGGTGAAGAGACCCGTTGGCCGCAGAACGGGCGTTAGCGCGGAGGCGACGAAAGGTGGCGAGGACGGGGGCACCCTTTAGTCCCTCAAGCCCCCAGCGAAGCAATGCGAAGCAATGATTGAATCAAGCAGGTGGTTGGCTGCGAGTGTTAAGTTGCTACGCCCGCTGAGCACCATGAAACGAAAGCCTAAGCTGATTCCTTCAAAGGACAGCTGGACGCCACCGGTGCAGCTTGGAAACAAATCCTCAAAACTAAGCCCCCCTAAACCCTAAACCTTCAAGCACTAAGCCCCCACGATGCTCCCGGACCCTTGTACGAAGAATTCCCAAGACCCTGTAGCAAATATCCTGTTGGTCAGAAGCCCATGAAAAAGGGCTTCATTGAAACACCATTGAGCGCGAAGGTATGAGAAGACGCCCGAGGAGCGCGCGTCACTGTCTGAGATCATCAAGTCCTCGCGTGATAGCCGCTGGGCTGGGTTTAGATTTTTTGTTCTTTGTGAAGCATCGTGAATCGCGAGCCCAGTACGGTTGTCGAGATGGCCTAATTGACCATGTGATGTGAAAGTCTCCCTGCCAGTTGCCTGTCCCAGGCAAGATTCACATGCTGTTTGGCACCGTGAATCAAAAGACTTTCGAGACCTGGCGCCGCTGAATGTTACACTTTCTCCTGGGCCCTCCGACCCTTAACACCTCGCGACAACGGTCCTAAACCGCCCAAACCCAGCGCTCATGCCTCCGTGACTGTATTAACTAGCCTCTTTAAAGCCAACTTGGGAAGCTCTGGATCGTCAAACACCATCGACACCATTGCATTGCTTGACCACATATCTGGGACAGCACAGCAAAGAGAGGTGCGGAGTTGGTTCAGGGGTTCAGGCGGAAGCGTTTAGGGTTCAAAACGGGTTGGGGGCAGCTTCGGGGTTTGGGTCTGGGTTTAGGGTTTAGGGTTCAGGGAAAAGGGTTGCTGTGCAAAAGGGTTTAGGCTTCAGGCTTAGGGTTTTGGTAGCTCCGAACATCTTCCGAGGAGATGATCCTCGATGCCATGTTCATCAAGAAGATCGGCAAAGGTGACACCATGCGCTAGATGGGGTGATACATAATATATGTGTGTGTATATATATATATATATATGCAAGTATGGGTTTAGGTTTAGGTTTAGGTTGTAGGATGCAAGAGGGTACTATCGTATTCTTGTTAATGGTCGCTTAGTTTAGGTTCCCTAAGACCTCCGGTTATTAGGTAGGCCCCCCATGCGTCGGGGTATTCCCGAAACCGTAAACCCTAAACCCTAAACCCTCATGCTCTGCAGGAGAGGCAGTGATTTCCCAGGGCGAAGAGGGGGACTACTTCTACATCGCGCCCCGGACAACAAGTGAACATTTTAGGTTTCAGGTTTTAGGGTTTCGGGTTTAGGGGAGTCAGTCCCAATACCCTAATCCCTAAACCCTAAACCCTAAACCCTAAACCCTAAACCCTAAACCCCTTCAACCGAGAACCACAGCGCAACCGGAAAGGTGAAGAAGGGGCAGTTTGACATCTTCGTGAAGAAGGGCGACGATCCCCCGAAGAAGGTGAGGGAAGGGGCTCGGAAGTGTATGTCTCGGATCAGAACTGCGAAAGAGTTTCTCCAGTGGGCGGGTTGCCTGTAGCGAAAAGGAGATTTGAGGGCGTGAGCATGGCTTTTGAGGCAGTCTTGACCCTAAACCCGAAACCCTGCTAAACTCTGAGCATTGCATGGGTGGGTTTAGGGTGTTTCGGGTTTAGGGTTTAGGGTTTAGGGGCCTCTGCCACTCCAGGTCTTCCAGTGTGGACCGGGCTTTGCTTTCGGAGAGATGGCCTTGCTCTACACGTGCCCGCGCACTGCCACCATCACGGCCCAGGACCAGCGGGCGGGTGTTTAGGGTTTAGGGTTTAGGGTTTAGGGTTTAGGGTTTAGGGTTGCGGCAGCGGGGCTTTGTAGGGTGTATTACTGGGTTTTGCTGGGGGATGATTTGAAATTCCCCTTCTTTCCCTTTTAAAGGGAACCTATGTCACAGGTATTTTTCAAAGGGCAAAGCAACACCCAGATCAGAAAGATTCAGAAATGTGTAGAAGTCCCCCAGCCCTGCAGGATGAGTCAGAGGTGTGGAGCCTGGACCGCACGGCGTTCCGAAACCTCGTCGTCCGCAGTGCTGAAGCCCAGTTCAAGGCCGGCTGGGTTTAGGGTGTAGGGTTTAGGGTTTAGGGTTTAGGGTTTAGGGTTTAGGGTTTAGGGTTTAGGGTTTAGGGTTTAGGGTTTAGGGGTTAGGGGTTAGGGGTTAGGGGTTAGGGGTTAGGGGTTAGGGGTTAGGGGTTAGGGGTTAGGGGTTAGGGTTAGGGTTTAGGGAAGAGGAGCAACGAAAAGGGAGACGGAGACCCCGAACCCTGAATTGCATTCTTGTTCAGGAACCTTACATCAAGACACCACAATCTGGACTCCATGTCCATATTCTTATGGTAACCTAAGTCAGGCTCCTTAGAGCAAGAGCGCTTTCCCAAGAGAGCCCTAAATCCGAAACCCTAAACCCTAAACCCTCCCTTAAGGACCCTATAACAGGAGTCTTGTAGCTTCCTCAACTCCTGCGACATCTTCGCCACCTTGACCCAGGAGCGTCGGGCTCTCGGGGCTTCCGAAGTACCTTACGAACCCCAAAAGCTATACTTTTCTGTAGGTTTCCTTGAGAATCCTTGAAAGGTTTTGGTAAGAAGAACCTGCAACGAAGTGGGATTTGGGGTTCTTAAGGTAGGCGGTGTGGGCTCTTAGCCAGGAGAGCTAAGGGTCGGCAGTGCTGAAAGTTATCCGGCTTTCGAAGTCCAGATGCGAACAGGGCTTACAGTAAGTCAAACATCATTTTTCCTCATACCCCAAGAGGGTTACCAAAGGGCATCCCAGCGCTAATCGTCCTTAAACCATGTTCCAGCTTTCTGGAGTTTACTGTACTTGGAGGTTCATTGGTAGTTATAAGTCGGGTTATATGTACCCCAATTGTAATGGGTTATATATATATATAGTTACCACACTTACAACCCTACTTATTACTACCCAATTGTCTTAGGCCTCTTTGTGTCCGCAGGACCAGATCTGCTCCCTTGCGGAAGTGCTTGAGGAGGAGGATGGCAGGGGACGTGACGGTGGGTGGGTTCGGCGAAGATTAGCCTCGTAGACCCTTGAGTACACCTGTTTTTGGATCGTTCAGGCGTTCAGGGTAGGGTTTAGTATATTTAGTGGTTGCTACAGAGTTTTACGGAGGGGTTCCTGCGTCAGAGGACCTCCTCATCCTAGACTAATTAGGGCTCAGGGTTGCCAGCCGAGTGCTTTTAATGTGGAGGATTGTGGGTAATTACTGTGCCTTAGCTTGGCACGGTGCGATGATGGGTCTCTGGTGACCCAAAAACCTCGGGGAAGTTCCAACAACACCTCCCAAAAGCCAAATCACGGAACCCGTCCCTTCTTCTCACGCTCCCTACACCGCAAGCCCAAAAAACTGACACACTGCCAATTGCTTAAGCACCCCCCAAAAAATATTCTTCCTTCTAAGGGTAATAGGGGGTTCTTAAGCAAATATTAGCACAGGAGTTCGACGACGACGAGGCGATTGTCGAGCAAGGCGAGAAGGATGACAAGATGTTCATCCTACGCCTCTCCATCTGCACATTGAGGTCACTACTAATTGCTTAAAACCCCCCCCCCCCCCCAAAAAAAAAAAAAAAAAATATATATATATATATATATATAAAATCATAATCCCTATTAAGGGCAATGTGGGGATTATTATTCTTATTCTTTTGGGGTTCTTAAGCAAATAGGAGGTCATGTGAGTGTTCTGAACATCACTGAGCTGAGTTGCGTGCTTTGCAGTGCAGACTCTCTCCCCGTACCCTAAACCCTACAAACCCGAAGCTGACGCTGGGGAAGGGAGGTGCAGGGTGGGTGGAATTGAAGCAGTGTTTGGTTTGAGGGATTACTGTGGCAGGAACCTTGACGGTGGTATTGGTGTTATGACTGGGCTTGCCCTTTGTGCCATAGACTTGTTGTGGGTTCTGGACAGAAGCTGCACCTTTGGAAAATGTGCTTCTTCTCCTGACTTTAGTGGCGCTGGTAGAATTTCCCTTTCAGTGTCCTGCAGTGCGTCCGAGATTGGTGAGCGAGGCAGGTGGCCAAAAAACCCAAATCGAAGTGTACCACCCAACTGAGCAAACATCAAACTCGCAGCCAGCACATGACCCCCAGCCGTACGCGTTGAGAAGCCTGCCTACTGTGGTGCATAGTAGGGCTTGCGGTTTGTGGGGGGATTTGGCTTGTAGAAGCCCTGTGATTCACGAAGCGTCAGAGATGTCAGAGCGGCCCTGCATGAATGGCCTTATGCTGAGAAGGGCCGTTAAAAACACAACCCCAAAATCCTGAACGCAACGACGCAGCATAGCACTCTAGGCGAAGGTTCGGGGTTTAGAGTTTAGGGTTTATAGGGTTCAAGTCTGGAAGCAAAAAAGCATTCGTAAACGCCAGACAGGAGAACAATACACACATGCAGAGCCTGGCAAAGGAACGGGCCAAGCAGTCGCTTGCATCGGGGGCGAGAAAGGCGAGATCGAGGCTGGACGATTCACACAGAGACACACACACACATACATACATACATACATACATATGTATATATATATATATATATACACGTGAGGCCATTACAGTCGAAGAGCCTGCAGAACACCTCATCAACTCCCTCCCGCGGTCTATGACACCTTTTTCGACTTTCGGAACAGGTCAAGCAGTACGCGAAAGGAGAGTACTTCGGAGAGATTGCGCTTCTCAGTGGCCAGCCGCGTAAAGCCAGCGTGCAGCTCGGATGGCAGTAGGCCCTCATGACAGCTCCGCAGAGGTCTGACACCTCCAACGTGCCGGATTCTCTAAATCATGTGTTTTTTGGGCTTACCCTCAAGATTAGGCTCCTCATGAGAGTAGGAAACCTCACAGGGGGGCCATAATTTCGACAAGCCCCCATATTCCGAAGCCTTGCAACAAAACTTCTACCGAATTCTACTACATCACGGCAACTTTGAAGCACAGCAACCGAGGTACGCGGTGGGCAAAGCGACCTGCGCCCTGTCAGAACTTAGGAGGATTTTCAGAGCTGCCCCCCCCCCCCCCCCGGCATTGGAGCTTTGGCAGAGCCAGGGCTTTCGACCTTTTTTCATGCAAGGGGCCTCCGAAACCAGAGCCAGGGCTTTCGACCTTTTTTCATGCAAGGGGCCTCCGAAACCCACAAAACCACCAAGACCCTCAAACCCCCAAAACCCCTAAGCCCTGGGTGGAAGAGGAACAGCTCCCAGCTTGCAATAGGGGATGTGGAGAGCTTCGGGGCTTCTTTCGGGTTCAGTCTTTAGGGTTTAGGGGTCTTTCCTCGCAGTTGTTCGCAGTCCAGTTTGCAAAAGTTGTTTAGGGGGCCGGGTTGAACAGACTTATGTCGTAACATGCGTCGGGGTTGTAATCAATATTTTGGTAAGTCAAGTATAGGTAAGCTGCGAATCCTCTGCCGCGAGGATGGGAAGGAAGTAGCCGTTGGCCTAGTCCTTGAAGCGCAAACATCGACGGTTGCTTAATTGAATCGAAATCTAACCGAATCCTTAGCCCGAATGCGTAACCCCTGACCCCTGCAGCATAAACTCAAGAAAGCCTCAATGGCCCTAAACCGTCAAAGAACAACAAACATTCTTCCTTATAAGGGCATTATGGGGATTATAATCTTCCATTTTTTGGGGGGTCTTAAGCAAATAGTAGAAAAAGCCCAAGGCTTCTACATCACCCGCTCGACCTTCCGCCGAATCCTCGGACCGCTGCAGAGCTTTCTGGAGAAGAACATGGACAAGTACGCCCTGGCCTAAGAAGGGGTCCAGTGCCTTAGGGCGTGTTGCCGCCTCGAAGTCCGTTGCTCCAAAAGGGTTAGGGTTTAGGGTTGGCCGCAGCTGAGCCCGGGGCAGGGGGGGGGGGGGGGGGGGGGGGGGGGGGGGGGGGGGGGGGGGGGGGGGGGGGGGGGGGGGAGGCCGGTGCAGAGTAGCTGGTTGTCTTGCTCTTCTTGGGCTTTAAATCCTCAACCCTGACGCCTAATTAAGACAGAAACGATGTCCCAGGGGCCCTCCCCTAGAAAGGTCCCAGCACAGGAGCTGAATTACCAAAATGATCCCCTTAGAATACAGATATACAATCACAACCACCCAAATACCCTTTCTAATGAAGTAGCTAAGTAGCTACGTTGTAGGCTTTGAGAACCCAGGCCAAGTACCAAGATGCCATGAAGGAGGGGGTCAACGAGGACCGGCTTGCACAGTGAGCTTGTTTTCGGGCACCGAGGGATGGTAAGCCAACAACCCTAAGGTTTAGGAAGGCCATTGGTCCATTGGTTCCTACTACATGACGACAGGAGGGAGCTCTGGTTTCGTTTGGGGACCCAGCTCGTGGGGGCTTCGGATTTGGGCTGGGGCGCTTTCCTGCCTTCACCCCGCTACCCCGCTGATCTTGTTGGCGCTGCTCGGCTCCACGCGAGGAGGAGGACACCACCAAAAAGGAGGGTCCGTCGGAGAAGAAGCAGAAGGTGGGTTTAGGGTTTAGGGTTCGGGGTTCTCCTTGCTCCTGATTCCGCCGAATCCGGATGTGCTAGCTAGCCACCAAGACCCACCGGAGGCTTAGAGATTCTTGACCTTCAGCCGAGCCCAAAAAAAGCACCCCAAACCTGACTAATTAAACCCCTAGACCCTGGCCCTAAACCCTTAAACCGCCCCAAAAGAGCAACAAAAAAACAAAAAAAAAACACCCAAAAAGCCTTAAGAGTCTCAACAGACCGTCCGCAAGCGGGAGAAGAAGGGCGAGGACTTGGCCAAGGTCGAGTGCCCTGGCCGATCTCTGAGTCTCGCTGCTAGGCTTCGACCCCTAAACCCTCAACTTGTCCCAGTTGAGGGTTTAGGGAGGGATGTTTTGGGTTTAGGGTTTAGGGTTTAGGGTTCAGGGTTTCAGGGTTTAGGGTTTAGGGTTTGGCAAGTAAACCTGTTTCGGCTCCGCACACAGTGATCAGGCCGTAAACTCAGGCCATCCTGCAAGGTGCACAGCTGAAGACCTTTCAAAATCCTGGAAGCAACCCGACCCTGAACCCTAAACAGCGAATCCCTTAACCCCCTTGTTAAAGCAATTGCTGCCTTTACCCTAAACCCTAAACCCTAAACCTAAACCAAAAACCCTAAACCCTAAACCCTAAACCCCGTATGGAAGCAACCTGAAGGCCTCCCTCCTGACACCCCTTAGCCTGCCAAGACCCTCTCACGTCTTAAATCTGCGCTCATTCATCCTTTTTCCTGGTCTCGGCCTGAGGGTTGAGGGTTTAAAACAGGGGTCGAGGGGCTTAGGGTTTAGGGGCTTAGGGTTTAGGGGGTTTACGGGTTGAGAGTTCAGGATATAGGCTTCAGAAAAGGCTAAGGGTGTAGGTTCTCAGGGTTGAGGGTATGGGAATTCCCCTCCTCACCCCACCCCCAAAATACGTTATTAACATTCCATGGTCGCATGCTATTGACGTGAAGAGTAGTACCGTTGAACGGATGGATCTTAGGGTTTAGGGATGAGGGTTTAGGGTTTAGGGTTTAGAGTTTAGGGTTGTGAACAAAGCAAGACAAGCCAGGAAGAAGGTGGTCAGCGAGGCAGGAGCAGATGCACCAGCGGAGACGTTGGCAGACAAGGTGGCGCAGGACACGTGGCTTAAACTTTGTCTTGGCTAAGTTGTTCTGCTCAATTATGAGCAGTCCTGGGCCCAGAATGATAATGGGCACATTTTCGTCATTCGTCACAAGGTCCATTTTTCTGGGGTCGGGGTAACACCCCGTAGTGAGAATTCAAGGTTTCATGTCCAAGGGTCTAGCGTTTATCGAGGGCAGCTGGCGCTTGGAGTTGTTGGAGACGTACCGATGTAACGCAACCAGGTTGCAAGCCCTGAGCCCTCCTCAGCTAACTCTAAATCGCTCTCAAGCGCCAAAACCTCATTTTCACCCTAAACCCTAAACCCTAAACCCTAAACCCTAAACCCTAAACCCTAAACCCTAAACCCTAAACCCTAAACCCTAAACCCTAAACCCTAAACCCTAAACCCTAAACCGCCCGATGCCGACTTGAATCCTTGCCTGCTGTGCGCGCGACGCGCGAGAGTCGAAGCCCAGCGGAGGACTTCAAGAATCCGGCCCTGGTCACGCCGAGCGACGCCCACGTGGTTTCAGACGCAGCTTGGGGGTATTTAGGGGTACTTAGGGGCATTGAGGGAAATTTAAGGGTGATTTAGGGGTATTTAGGGGAATTTAGGGGAGATTTAGGCGTATTTGGGGGGTATTCAGGGGGGTATTTTGGGTGCGTGGCCGCGGCCTTTTGGGAGCTGAGGCTTCCATGATGATGTTCGGTGGCGTGGTGCCGGGTCAGAAATTCACCATGGACAAGCACATCCATTGCCGCACAAAGTTCGAGAAAGGACAAAGAGGACTGGGTTAGGTATTAGGTTTAGGGTGTGACTGGGTTGAGGGTTTTGTGGCTTAGGGCATAGGGTTTAAGGTTTAGGGTTTCGTGGGGGGAGCTAGCGTTGTCTCGCGAACCCGGCGCTGTACCCAAGAACGAAGTAGCGTCGCACGTCCGAGTGGAAACGTTTGCCTCTTGAGTGTGTCTAGCAAGGCTTTACAAAAACGTGAAGAGATTCTGGGGTAGTTGAATGATCCCTAAGTATGGGCCCTTAACAAGGGGGACCCCTTGTATACCCTAATCCCAAGACCCATACTTCAGAACCCTTCAAAGGCCCTTTAAAGGAGGTAAGGGACCATCTGAAGGGCCCATGATAATCCAAGAGAGCCCAATACCCCTTAATGAAGGAATATACCTTCAATCAGACTGAGGATCCCTTTCGAATTTAAGGGCATATTCCTTACTTGAGGGGTTACCCTAAACCCTAAACCCTAAACCCAAAACCCTAAACCCTATTGGGCTCTTTGGGACTGCCGTTAGTTTTCAGCCGCAGGAGACGAGGACCTTTACACGTGGCAGGCGGCCACGAAGTTGAAGCAGGCCAGAGCTGCGATTTCGGGATTGTTTAGGGTTTGGGGTTTAGGGTTTAGGGTTTAGGGTTTAGGGTTGGTTGTTCTTTATGTGCCAGAGTTGGAAAATTGCAGTTGCCGTGAGTAGAATGTAGTGAGCAGATCCAGTCCCCCAAGCCTGACAAGGACCTTTTTGTGATGTAAGGATGCTAAACCACAAGCCCTAAACCCCATGCGCTGCTGCACGGCTGCGCGCTGCGAATTCTTGTGTGTCGGGATTTCACAAGGAGGATGCGGGTCTGTGAGGAGCACGGGTTAGAGCCATGACTCATGATAAGACTGTTATGAATATGTTCATGCCATTGCATTCTCTAAATGCTATTAAAACTGTCAGTTCTGTTAATCGTATAGATGTTATAAAGTCTACTGTTTAAGCAAGCATTATTAGTGGTAGTACATGATGTATCTGAAAGATGCAGGCCACCGAGATTGCCGTGCTTTGCCAGAAGGGCCGCCTGCTTGGACATTGGCCTTCCTAAGCCCTAAGCCCGAAGCCCCCAAAAAAACCTGGGCATTTCCCGAAATAGGGGTACCAATTTTATACCCCAAAAGAAGAGAATCCCCTTAAAGGGATCCTCGAAAAACCCTAAGCCGTAAACCCTAGATCCTATCTTTGTGGTGCTTTACTGTAACTTTACATCTTTAGCCTTTTTGGGTTTGTTGGGTTTCTTAAGAAGGCAGCTAAAAAACTAAATTTATAGCTACCCTGCTAAGAGCAGCCAAGCTATGGAAACCTTCCTACGGATTTCCTTTCCGATGACTGTCAGCTTCAGAGCCCAGGCCAAAAGTCCGCTTCCGACCCGACTCCCAACCAGGACTCTTGACTCTTCTGGGTTTAGGGTTTAGGGTTTAGGGTTTAGGGTTTAGGGTTTAGGGTTTAGGGTTTAGGGTTTAGGGTTTAGGGTTTAGGGTTTAGGGTTAGGGTTCTGAAGGGACTCGACCTCGGACTCCTAAGGTTGGATCCTTGGGTTTGGGGGGGGCCTTGTTAGAGGCCCTTGAAAGGGAATCCAAGGGTTTCGGGTTTCGGGTTTAGGGTTTAGGGTTTAGGGTTTAGGGTTTAGGGTTTAGGGGAGTATATTGAGGGGAACCTTAAGGGGTACAACCTCAGGGGTACGAGTCTTAATCCCTTGATACTCGAAGTGCTCAAAATCTTCAGGGGCTTCAAAGCCACATCAACATGAGGATCCTACTGTGGGGGAAAAGGGCCCTTAAATTACTGCTGTAGAAGGGGGATTCTGGAAACCCCTGTCTGTAGAGTCCTTACGTTTATGTGTTCTCTTGGGCCCCTAAATCTCACAGGACAACTTCTTCGTGCACCACGTTGGGGCAGTGACCATGTACGGCGTGTGCGATGGGCATGGTCCCTTCGGCCACCTTGTGTCTTTCCGACTTGTGCAGACGCTGCCGCACCTCGGCTTGACGTTGTATGTAGCTCCCAGAAAGTACTGCCCTAAAACCAGGCTGTTTCTGGGACTCGTCTTAAACTTGAGTTCTTGTTAGCAGGGCCTGTCAAGACATAATGTGTTAGAGGGGGTTTCTAAGACCGAGGTGAGGTTGAAGCAAACGAGACTTGAAATTCTAGCACCCCGGGTTTCAGCGCCTAGGGTTTCGGGTTTAGGGTTTCGGGGTTTAGGGGTTTAGGGTTTCGGGGCTTTCTTTGCTTGCGCTGCAGCCCTCAGCCTTCCAAGCCCCTGGGCTTCAGCGGGGCATGTTGTAAGTTGAGGACCCCAGGGTCCCTAGACCCGAAACTTTTGGAGCCCCCGAAACCCTAAAACCCTGACAAATTAAACCCCTAGCCCTAAACCCTAAACCCCAGGAACCCCTAGCCCTAAACCCCAAACCCCAGGAACCCCTAGCCCTAAACCCTAAACCCCAGATACTTCTTGACGAACAGCGAGCACTTCGGCAAGAACTGGGAGGAAGCGCTGCAAGAGGCCTTCGGCAAAGCGCAGGCAGAGGGGGAGGGGGGCTGGGGGCTGCGGGCTTTGGGGTTGCATCTGTATGTAAAATTATTATTATTATTATTATTATTATTATCATTTAGATATATATATATATGTATATATTTGCTTTCCTATCTAGATCCATATATATATATATATATATATATATATATATATACTTATCATTCATATATGTATATGTGTATATGTATGTATGTATGTCTTGCCCCAAACCCTAGACCCAGAGAGGCCCAGGAGGAGTGTTTTTTTCGGATTCGGGGGTTCGGCTCCCGTGGCGTGGGCGCAGACGAGAGAAGACTCCCAAAGCAAAGGTCTGGGGTTCAGGGGTTTTGGGCTGCAAGGGTTTAGGGTTGAGTTTCGTCCGGTTTCAAAAAAAGGGTTTAGGGTTTTGGGGTACTAAACCCTAAACCCTAAACCCTAAACCCTAAACCCTAAGATTGCTATCTGGCATTGCTGTGAGCACTTTTTTCAACTGCCATCAACCCCGAGGCCTTGGCTCCTAATCTTGGGCCTAAGCCCCCCCCTAAACCCTAAACCCTAAACCCTTAAAAGGGAGCCCTTCTGAGCCCTCTTCTGGCTCTCTCTTTCAGGCAGGGACCTTATTCAGAGGGTCTCTATCCCCAAAGGTCCCCCGAAACCCTAAACCCTAAACACTAACCCTAAACCCTAATCCCTTAACCCTAAAACCCCCTACTCCCATCCCCTACCAAAAAAGCAGCAACGCCTTAGCCCTGGCCCAGGAGGATTTGGAGACCTTCTGCACCTGGGTCAATGGGGATAGGGTTTCGGGTTTAGGGTTTCAACACCATACCGGAAGCCTTTGAGGGGCTTCCGGGAGTCAGGACGTGGGTTCTGCTCGCTTGTTGCCGCTTTCTTTTGATGTGAGGCTTAGGCTGCTTTAGGGGTAGGGTTGAAGCTAAAGTCCTAAACCCTACAAAACCTACACCGCAGCCCTGGGCTGTGGTAAGAACTTCATTTTGGTTACCCTAAACCCTAAACCCTAAACCCTAAACCCTAAACCCTAAACCCTAAACCCTAAACCCTAAACCCTAAACCCTACACCCTACACCCTACACCCTACACCCTAAACCCTAAACCCTAAACCCTAAACCCTAAACCCTAAACCCTAAACCCTAAACCCTAAACCCTAAACCCTAAACCCTAAACCCTAAACCCTAAACCCTAAACCCAACCTATAAGGCCCATGAAGGCCTCACAAGCTCCCTAAACTCTAAACCCCTCTCAACCCTTCTAGGCCCGAAACCCTGAAAAGGGGCTTCGTCTAATGCAATTTGGGGTCGGAATAAATACCAAGATATTCCTCTATGTTCCCTCGATAATAATATGCGATAGGAACCCCAAAACCCTATTCGAAGTATTAACCCGTACATTAGATAATTCGAGGCTTCGTCCTCTGGCTTCCAAAGGTCTCCTTGGGTCAAGGGCGAAGTTTTCTTCAAAGCCAAGAGCGTGGAGAACCTGCTAAGCCTACAACCCCTGAAGCCCTAAACCCTAAACCCCCTAAAACCCTACACCCTAAAGCCCTCTTTTAAACCCTAAACCCTAAACCCCCCTAAACCCTAAACCCTAAACCCTAAGCCCTAAGCCCTAAGCCCTAAGCCCTAAACCCTAAACCCTAAACCCTAAGCCCTAAACCCTAAACCCTAAACCCCAAACCCCCCTGAAGCCCTAGGCCGTGAGCAAAACATCAACATCGAGGCCTCGGGTGCGGCAGGGTCTTGCCTGGTGCTGGAGGAGCAGACCGCTTCTTGGACCCATATTCGCGCGAGTCGCTTGGGGTTTAGGGTTTAGGGTTTAGGGTTTAGGGTTTAGGGTTTAGGGTTTAGGGTTTAGGCACAGGCCGTTTGCACATTTTGCATTTTCCCTTCTTGGGTTTAAGAGGGTCATGTTTTTGTAAGGCAAGCGTGGTGTTTAGATGTCTGCGGGGCCAGGGAGGCCCCCCCAAATACAGGGCCATGCTCTCCCCTTCATGCCAAACTGCCCCCCAAATACCCCGCTGTTTGTAACCAAATGCCCTCACATTCTGCCCAAGACCTCCAAAACCCTAAACCCCAAACCCTAAACCCTAAACCCTCCTTGAGGTTCACATTGCCTTCATTGGCGATGCGAGGATCATGCTCGGATCCTGGAATCGCCGGGACTCGCGCATGATCTTTTGCACGAAGGACGGGGGACGTTTGGGGGCGGGGGGGTCCCTTAAATGGGGACCAGGGTTTAGGGTTCAGGGTATTTAGGGTTTAGGGTTTAGGGTCCCCTTATATACCCTGTTCAACTCAAGGCCCCATACTTCAGAACCCTTTACAGAAGGCATTGACCGTATTGAGGGGCCCATGCAACTGCCCTTAGAGATTTAGGGTAGGGTTTGGTTTAGGGTTTAGGGTGCAGGGTTTAGCTTAGAGCCTAGGGTTCGGGACCTGGGGGCATGCTAGGATACCAGCGAAAGGTACCCGAGAGACCCTAAACCTAATTACACCTGAACCCCTCCCAACTTGACCATATTTCTGGTCTTGAGATGGAAAAAAACTTAAAGTCACATGTGTATTATATGTATATGCCCCTTTGAATCAAGAGAAGCCCGAGTTTTATAGCCCACTCCCACACCTCAAACTACCACAGATTGTCAGAGAGGACCACAAACCCGAGCTTCCTGAAGAGAAGGCCACGCGGGGCTTCTTGCGGTTGCTGTCGAGGGTTGAGAAGGTTTAGGGTTTTTGGGTTTAGTGGAACAAAAGAGTTTCAGGTCTAGCATTGAGAGTTTGGGTTTATCTTAAACATTAAAACAACGGGTTCAGGGCTGACCAGATTGTCCAGGGCCCAGTATGCAAAAGGGTTCCGAGGTGTCAGGGAGGGACATGCTGCCTTGGGGACGCCGTCTCTTACCAGCCACCCTGTCATGCAGCATGGAGGGTTTTGCTTAGGAGACTTCAGCCACCCCCCGTAGGGTTCATAGGGTGTTTTGGTTGAGAGTTCCTCCTTCCCTTGCCGAGCCCCAACCATCACCCGCCAGCACAAACTAAAGACGCTTCTTCAATACCCATACCCAAACTCAAAGTAAGCTCCACACAAGGCAAGCAGAAAAGAGAAACCCTATTCTTCCCCAAATCTGTAGCCATGGCCTCCAGAGCTCAGGCCACTCAATCACCACACAAGCCCCCAGACCCGAAACCACCCAAAGCCCTGAAACCCCAACACCACCAAAAAGCCGAAACCACCTCCTGCGGTTCGCCTCGCAGTGCCTGGCCTTGGCCTAAACCCCAAACCCCAAACCCTAAACCCTAAACCCTAAACCCTAAACCCTAAACCCTAAACCCTAAACCCTAAACCCTAAACCCTAAACCCTAAACCCTAATCCCTAAACCCTAAACCCTAAACCCTAAACCCTAAACCCTAAACCCTAAACCCTAAACCCTAAACCCTAAACCCCCTAAACCCTACCCTAACCCTAGACCCTAGACCCAGACCCTAGACCCTAGACCCTAGACCCTAGACCCTAGACCCTAGACCCTAGACCCTAGACCCTAGACCCTAGACCCTAGACCCTGAACCCTGAACCCTGAACCCTGCGCGTGCGCCAGTGTGAGAGTCGAAACCCTAACCCCGAACCCCTTTTCGGGTGGGAACAAAAACACCCGAAACCCTAAACCCCAAACCCCAAACCCGAAACCCTAAACCCTAAACCCTAAACCCCCCAAAAACAGTTACCAAGCCCAGGCGCGTTTGGAGGCCGAGGGCAGCGAGGTCAGGGAGGTCGACGAGGGGAGCTGGCGAATCTACCTCAAAGGCTCCAAGGGTTTCGGATTTTTGGGCTTTGGGGTTTAGGGTTTAGGGTTTTGGGCTTAAGGTTGGGGGCTTCTGAGTTCTAAGTTTTGTAAGGTTTGTTTTTTTTTTAAAAGGTTTGAGGCTAGGGCTTGGGGGTTGGTTCAGGCTTCTTAGGGCTTGAGGCGTTGGGACTTTGAGGCTTGCAAGCGTTTCTGGGCTCAGTAGGCTCTTGGGACATTTTATGTTTTCCCTTATTGGGTTTAAGAGGATATTCAGGAATATTTTCAGAGGGTTTTAAGGGCCATCCTAGTGGGGTTTACTTGGAGACTTAGAGGAGGCTGAAGGCCGAGGGGTTCGATCTACCCCAGCGCAGGGGTTGGTCTGCTGTATGGTTTACAAGGTTTATAGGGTTTGTAGGGTTCTTGTGTTTATAATTCAAAAACCGCAAGGGGCCTCATGTTGAGAGCTTACAGTGGTTAGTTCCCTTTCTGTTGTTCAGGGTGTTGCGTGGTTTTTGTAGTTTCCAGGGGTTGAGGGTTCTGAGGATTTAAGGCCGTTGGCCTTGAAATAACCTCGGTTCAAGGCATTCTCCGTATCATTAGAACCGTACGTGTCTCTTTGCTTTTCCTTTGCATTTCAAGGTCGGGGCCTCAGCCGTCTTGGGTTACAAAAAGGGGTATAGGATAAAGAGCAAAGGGTATACAGACCAGGGTATAGGGTACATGGTCAAGCTATACTTTTCTAAGAAAGCATCTTTGTTCTATTATTACGCAACGTAAAATATATCATTAAAGTACAATGGCATTCATATATTGTAGTATGTTGTTATATTACTACATCATTGTAGTCTTATGTCAGCGCTAGTTACTATGCTAGTCGTGCAAGAACGCAGGTTCCAACTTCCCTGGGCTCACCATGTCCCGCGCCTTTGGGGACACGGCCTGTGCCGGGGCCCTGGGAGCTGGGTCGCAGGGTTTGATCTCTTGGCTGAATATGTTTAGGGTTTAGGGTTTAGGGTTTAGGGTTTAGGGACAGGCTTCAGAGGTCCGTGTTAAAAAAGGGTTTAGGGTTTAGGGTTTAGGGTTTAGGGTACTACTCCCCAAGCCGGGAGCAAAAACCCTGAACCCTAAACCCTCTTGGGATGAAAAGACTCCCCCAGAGCTCAACTTTTGCTTCCCTTGCAGGCCCCTAAGCTTCCTGAGCCCGAAGCCACATCTTTAGGGTTTAGGGTTTAGGGTTTAGGGTTTAGGGTTTAGGGTTTAGGGTTTAGGGTTTAGGGTTTAGGGTTTAGGGTTTCCTCAAGTCCTGTGGATTGCATGAGCTTAGGTTTCCTTCTGGCACAGGTTTTATGAGCTCAAGTCTCAAACCCTGAACCCTAGACCCTTGTGGTAAGCGGTCCTTCTTCAGTCTACTGGCTTTTTTGTTGCTGTTATAGTGCTCCGCAGGACCTACTAAAACGGGGGCCAGGGCACTGGCACCACCTGGGCAAGGGGCACAGTACAAGCACGACGATGTTTGAGAGAAAGTGAGTTTCGTCTTAGAGAGGGTCGCGGCACGCACAGCCATGCGGATACGCTCTCTGAGATCAGTGTTAAAAGACTAGGGTACCATAGTCCAGGTTGCTTATTAAGCAACCAAGAGGGTTTTGCACCGATAGGCTGACCTGGATAACTCCCCCCGAAGTGTGTTCCCAGTGTGGGTACGTATACCGTTGTGCTACAGGGAGTTGGGGGAGGATCGGGGTCCTTTTGCGACCATGACATCACACCAACCACGACTGTTCCCTGCGGAGTGGGGGTCTTCTAGGCAGGTGACCAAAGAAAGACCCTTGTGGTTTCCGGACCTAGGCCGGCATCTCCCGTGTTCCGGAATACCACAAGTTCCTGATGCAGCCCAATGACCAGTGGTACGCCATCGTGGCTTCCGATGGCATCTGGGAATTTTGGCCTGCACGTGGGGGGTCGGGTCTAGGCCGCCGAAGGAAGCTCGGTTGGGAGGACAAGCTTACTTAGTTCTTAGTAGGAATGAGGGAAGTACGAACCCCCTCCCCCCCCCAAAGCTTTTACGCGTCATATCGGGAATCCCAGATTCCCGACTAAGAACCCGTAAGCAGCCACCCGGAGCCATGCTCCAGAAGGTCCCAAGGGTCGACTTGCGGGTTGTTAGGGTTCGTGAGGCGAGCGCATTTCACCGACACATCACAGAACCCGATCACGAAACCTGCAGACTGTCGAACCACCGTACACCGAAAACCCTCCCCCCAAAAAAATCCTCAATGCCTCTAACAGGCACCCGAATCCTTCTCAAAGCCCACCCCCACAAACACCCCAATATCTTCATGAATCTCTCTGAACTGTGTACACCACCACTGGCCCCCTAAACTCTATAAGCCCGAAGCCTTTCAACCCTAAACTCCTAAACCCACCGAAGCCCTGCCTGCCTTGTGCGAGTGTGAGAGTCCAAGCCCTGCCACCAAAATCTTCCCAGGAGTTCATCGAAGGAGAGGAGTGCTGCAGCCTTACGTCGAAAAAGCTTCGGCTGAAAGGTCCGCGAGAAACGGCCCACTGGATGGCACTTGGGATCTGGGGTAAAAAGGGTTTAGGGCTTGGGGCTTAGGGCTTAGGGTTTAGGTGGGCTTGCGGGGCAGTTTTTGGGGTTGGCCCCAGGTGGAGTCGTTGGGTTGTTGGCCAGATCACAGAATCTAGTCCTATGCTGGGCCTTAAACCCTAAACCCTCAACCCTAAACCCTAAACGAGAAGCCCTAGGTGGAGTTCATCACCACCGCGAGCCGGAAGAGGTGGGCCCACGTCTGCGGAGATTACTGCGACGACATCACGGCCCTCCTGGTTCCTCGGAGAGGTTTTAGGGTTTCGGGCTTAGGGTTCAGCAGAGAGAGGTTTGAGGGGTTCAGTTGGGTTTAGGGTTTAGGGTTTAGGGTTTAGGGTTTAGGGTTTAGGGTTTAGGGTTTAGGGTTTAGGGTTTAGGGTTTAGGGTTTAGGGTTTAGGGTTTAGGGTTTAGGGGGGTAGGCCCCAAGCCCTGAAGAAGGCCCTTGGTTCCCACTTTCTTGGTCAGACTGGGCTTTTCGATGTCTTTTGGGGGGGGGGTATCAACAGCAGGATATGTCCAGACGAGGGAAGTGCCACGGCTTTTGAGGTTTTAAGGCTTCAAGGCTCACGAGGTTTAGGCAGAGCATTCAGCAGCTCGAAGTCCGACCCCCTCAGAACTACTATTTGTTTAAGAACCCGACCCCAAAAAATAGAACATCCATAATTATATGACCCTTGTAAGGAAGAATATGTTCATTTCTTGGGGGGTGCTTAAGCAATTCGTCGAGAATGGCCGAGGTTCAGTGGAACACCACACCGCCCGAAGGAGGCCCAGCCACATGGGGAACCCTAAACCCTAAACTGCCCTAAACCCTGAAACCCTGACACCCTGAAACCCTGACACCCTGAAACCCTGAAACCCTGAAACCCGAAACCCTAAACTTTTGCTTTAGGCCTTAAGGGCCTTGTGAGCATCTGCGGGCTCGACTTTGCCAACGTAGTCTGTATCCCTCAGCTTGGGACCTTTCATTCTCATTACACGTGGCCACTTCTTTAGCATACTATGGTGCCTTTTGGGGATCCTTATGATAAGGCGGCCTCTCTTCTTTACCGTGCCCAAACAGGATCAACAGAACTGACCAGAACCTCCGCAGGAAGTTCCAACATATCCAACATAGTCATGGATGGTTCCGCTGACAGAGAGTGCCGAACCCTGTTACTCAGTGTCCGCATTGCGGGATTCTGCATGCAGCATGCACAAGGATGAACGAGGGTTGGGCATCAGCATTCAGCTTTCTCCGCGGCCCTCTGCGCAGGCACCAGCAACCACATGATGACAGTGCGCCAGTTCCAGCCACCATCCTCCTAATCTCATGCTCAGGGAGCACAGGCTCCTCGATAGAGACCATAGAGTTGATATGTGATACAAGAGACCACCCAAGAAGTTTTAGGGTTTAGGGTTTAGGGTTTAGGGTTTAGGGTTTAGGGTTTAGGGTTTAGGGTTTAGGGTTTAGGGTTTGGGGCAGAAGAGCTTCAGAACATGCAATGGGTCTCTATTGAGGGGTGGCAGTTTAAGTCTGCAGCCGGTTTCACACTCTCACCTCCAGAGCCCTGGCTGCATTAGGGTTTCGGGTTTCGACTCTCGCGCTCGCACAAGGCAGGCAAGAAACCTCAACGTTTGGGGCGTCCAAACCTGGCGTTTGGGGGGTCCAAACCTGGAAACCTTAACGTTTGGGGGGTCCAAGCCTGACGTTTGGGGGGTCCAAACCTGGAAACCTCAACGTTTGGGGGGTCCAAACCTGGAAACCTCAACGTTTGGGGGGTCCAAACCTGACGTTTGGGGGGTCCAAACCTGGAAACCTCAACGTTTGGGGGGTCCAAACCTGGAAACCTCAACGTTTGGGTCTCAAAAGGGAACTAAAGGTTTAGAGCTTAGGGGTTCCAAGGTACCCAAGGTTTGCAAGGCGATCGATGACTTTGGGGCTTTACTAAATGGCTGTAGAAGTTTATCGTCTAGGGGAAGCGAACACGGGCTGCCGCGGCTGTAGAGCCTTCTCCGGCCGTCTAAACCGCGATTGACACTTTGCAAGCATGTGCTATTGCTCCCTTATTCCAGTGGTGCAGAGTAGCTACCTTTAAAAAAACCCCGAAGGAAACCTCAAGCCCAAAGAACCCAACAAAAACCCGAAAACCCTAGAGGTTTTTAGCTGATTCTGGGATGCTCTCAGGAAGTCGCCCACCGCAAAAGCGGTCTGTGCTTCGAGGCACCCGGGGTTCGGGGTTTTGGGGGGTAGGGTTTCTAGGGTTTATAGGGTTTATAAGGTTTTTTAGGGTTTTTAGGGTTTTTAGGGTTTATAGGGTTTATAGGTTTGTAGAGTTTTTAGGGTTTTTAGGGTTTAGGGTTTGAGCAACGGAGGGGTCAGGGTGTAGAGCTCCGAAGTGACATGCTTGGGCTGCTTCTCTGTGGCTCCACGACTCCACGAGTCCTGCAGCCCGAGTCCTGTGAAACCTGAAACCATTTGTAAACCCTAAACCCTAAACCCTTGTACAAATTCGTAGGTCCCCCGAAACTCAGGAAATCGGCGCTACCCTGGTTGCGAAGTCCTGTAGGTGTCTTGCAGCTCCTCCCTGTACCCGATACCCTAAACCCTAGACCCTGACCCCTAAACCCCAAACCCCAAACCCCAAACCCCAAACCCCACACCCTAAACCCTAAACGAGCCGATGTTGAGACTGTTGAACCTGTGTGCCTCGCCTGGCTTGTCCGAGTGTGAGCGATTAAACCCTAAACCCTAATTAAAACCTAAACCCTAAACCCTAAACCCCAAACCCTAAACCCTAAACCCTAAATCCTAAACCAAACCGCAAGACCGTTTCTGAACAAATGACAGACGTGACAACCCGATCGGCAGGCACTGGGGCGCCTTGGGAGAGGGGTGACCTGGCCAGGTTTGGGGAGGGAGAGAGAGGGCAGGGAGAGAGAGAGGGGGTTCAAGCTCTTGGTGGGATTACACAGGCTACCTCATTCCCCCATTCCCTGCAAAGAACCAGCCAGCCTACGTACCCTAAACCCTAAACCCGAAGCCTTGCCTGCTTGTGCTAGCGTGAGAGTCGAAACCCTAAACCCTAAACCCTAAACCCTAAACCCTGGCGTTCAAAGGGGTGTCAGGGCTCATGTCAAGGGAGGTGCTCAGTCTACGCAGGTGCGTTTCAGGAGGCGGGGTCTGCAGGAGCCAGGCGGGAACAAGCCCAGGGCCCCTGGGCCCCCCAACCCAGAACAGGCAGGGCAGCTAGACCTTTAGGGTTTAGGGTTTTAGAGTTTAGGGTTTGGGGTTTAGGGTTTAGGTTTGCTTGGAAGGCGGCAAAGAGGGGGCGAGTCGTGCAAGAACTGAAATCCCGGCCGGACCTTTCTGAGACCTGCATTCCTGCCTAAAACCCTGTGCCTCCACAGGATGGTTCTAGAAAATGAATAATCTCTTTTGGGGTCCTTGTTTTAAGGGTGCCGTACCAGAATATAGGGGACCACAAAAAAAGGGACCTGCGATAATTTAGAGGGCTACCCAACAAGAGATGCGGCGCTGAGGGTTTGCAGAGTTGAAGGGGGCCCTTCACGCTCTCAGGCTCCTTGCGTTGCCTGGACGAGCACCTTCGCAGCATGAACATTCGATAGGTATGGATCTCGGGGTTTGAGGGCTGAGGGTTGGGAAGGAAGCACCCCCACAGTGATACCGAGAGGACAAGTCTGTATGCACATCATTCTTTCGGAGCTGGGTTTTCAAGGCTTCTTGAAGACTTCCAGGCCTCAATCCGCAGCAGCCCCCTATCAGAGCTCCCATGCCCAAGCTGGTCCCAGGTCCCTCGCCCTCATCCACAAGTCTCCGCCAGGACTCTTGTCAGTTACTTGGGGGCCGTTAGCTCGCATCGCTCTGTGCGCATGGCGCATCGGTTGGCGCTCGAATCGGAGCGGAGGATCCGGCGGTTGATCCAAGCTTAGGGTTTAGGGTTTATCGACCGGTGTTGTGAACAGGTGGTATTGTAAGCAAAATTAGCAGGTGTGTGTGTGTGTACCTCCTCACAGCGTAACCGCCACTGTTGTGCGCACCTGCCAATGTCGAGCTACCTTGCAATGTTTGTTAGGCATGCACGGTTTGCAGCAGCGCCGAATCCATGAACCGTGTGGTGAGCTGAGGAAACGAGATGGCAGAGCATTTGCGAAATTCCCACAGATCTCGGGCCACGGCCCGTGCTGTATTTCTGAGTCTTGCATTTCGTCGCCGATGTGCAAAGAACAGGTTGGGAAGTGTCTTTAAAGGGAGATGGTTCTGGGAACGAGCTTCGCTCTGAGCCTTACTCTAAAGTCCTTAAGTAATCCCTACATGAGTTTGCGGGCGCGCGCGCGCGCAGGGGGTGCGTTTGCCTCTTTTTCTTTTTTCGATGATTCCACAATCATCGTAACCCTGGTGTTCCACTTTTGGTGTTGCTGCTGTGGTCTCATGTGGGTTTTTAGCATACCCTGGGTCGGCCCTTGGGATGTTTTAGAGTTTCTCTTATGCGGGTTTATAACAGTTAGGAATATATTTCTCAGGAGGTCTTTTGTACCCCTAAACCCCAAACTACCCCCAACAAAACCCTGAACCCCAAACCCCAAACCCTAAACCCCAATCCCTAAACCCGAAACCCTAAACCCTAGCCCTAAACCCTAAACCTCAAAAACGCCTCAGAAGGATCCTTGGAGCCTGCACTCGGCAGCCGAAATCTGGGAAGCCAGAGCGCCTCCCGTGTGGATTTAGTCGTTGGCAAGCCCAAGGGATCGTGAGGCGTTGATGTGCGCGTCAGGGTTTAGGGTTTAGGGTTTAGGGTTTAGGGTTTAGGGTTTAGGGTTTAGGGTTTAGGGTTTAGGGTTTAGGCTTGTTAATTATAAGGGTTTATAAAGGCTTAGGCTTAGGCTTGTGCGTCATCTACCCGAGCATTGAACTGAACTCGGTACCAAAGTGGGAGGGTTGCTGGATGTTGTCCGCATACTGGTAGGTACAGGCAGTATATACAGCCCCAAAAAGGGCCAGGCAGAGAGCAAAATCTGGACGCCGAACACGCAACGACTCGTGACCATCGACTTGGGTAAATCTACCCGAGTTCGAATGGCAAGCTGCACGTCGGGGACATCGAGCCTGGAGATTTTCAAAAACTGTAACTAGGAAAGGCGAGCAGTTCAGAGATCTGGAGGGTGGTTGGGTCAGTAAGCATGAACTGCCTAAGAACAGCTCTCACAATTCGTGGTGCAGCGGAACTGGCATTGCACTCCCCTTTCGGCGAAGCGTAAAAAGTGCTCTCTCGGTTGTATTTTGTCGGCCTGGGTTCACAGTAGCAAACTCCCAAGCCCCTGCACCCTTTAGGGTTTAATTAGGGTTTGGGGTTTAGGTTTGGGGTTTAGGGTTTCCTCCCCTAAACCGTGACATCGCCTCTGTCTGCCTCTGTGGGCCTCTGTCTGCCTCTGTGGGCTGGACGCTGTTGGCAGGGGTTATCTGTAGCGATTATGAAGGCCATTTTTCCTTCAACACCCTTATACCCTTGACCGTACATCTTGCATAAGCCCTCCCCTGTCACTTGAGGCCCCCCCAAACCTGCCCCCCCGCCCCCCCCCCCGGCCCCGTATAGCTTCGACCCTTCTACTCCTAAGTTAAACCCGACACCCTACACAGGTCCCAGAAGCCCTTTATACTTTTAACCCTTATGTATATATATATATATATATATATATTTTTTTTTCTATATCTCTCTCTCTCTCTCTCTCTAGCCCTGACACAGGTGCGAAACCCCAACGTAACTTCATCCCTCCCTTTGGAGGCGCCAGTTCCGCCAGCAGTTGCGGCGGATCCGCCGCGCTCGCGCGGGCTCGCCCGCACGCGGGGGCCCCCGAATGTCTCGGCTTCGAGGGTTTTGGCATTAGGCTTCCGGGTTTGGAGATGTTGATAGGCTTTACAGGGTTTATAGGGTTTGGAGGGCTTGTGGGGTTTGGAGGGTTTAAGGCCTTATGTGGTTTACAGGGTTGAAAAGGTTTTTCATAGGGTTTAGAGGGTTATAGGCAGGGTTTGCTGGCATTATAGGGTTTATAGGGGTTATAGGGTTTATTTACAGGGTTTTGGGAGTTCAGGGCCTGGTTTCGGGTTGGGGCCCAGCGAAAATTCGAGTCTAGGGTCGCAGGATATGGGAAGACTGGTTCGGAGAAGAGTTGCAGAGTAGCGGGATTAGCAGCCGTATGATCTCTGTGGTGAATCATCAGGGAAGCTGCGCGTGGACTGAAGACCCCTTCACACCCACCAACTTGAGGTGATCCAGGGTGCTGGGCTTGCAGCTTGCGGGTTTCTGCCC